CCCTCACAATGTATTACCGAAATCCATCAAGCTAAAACAGAGGCAACAGAAAGAGTAAGAATAAATTTCAACATCTGTAATTGCTTCGATTCAAAACAAAACAATTCAAGTAGAAAATTCATTCACATTAATCAAAATATTTATGGCACAATAATCAAATCCACCTACTTTCAGTTCAAGCTCTGCAATGGAAGTTGTATCGCATACATCTCTGATTAGAGATTCCACATGCAGTTAGAGATTATAAACGACAAACTTTTCAAATATAACTCAAAGTATAAGTTCTTTCATTCATTTATTAAAGAAATCCCAAAACATGAAATATTAACATATTTATTCCAAATTTGTAAATTACGAGTAGAACAAAAAGAAGAAAAATCAATTACATTCTTTTTCTAATTTCCATATATAATTTCCTCACAATTGCTTCAAAAAAGCTAATGTGCAGTAACTTCAAAATCTACTGGACAAAACATTTTTATAATTTAAAGGTGTAAAAAGATACCAATAATGACTTGGCATAACATACATAGCTTCCATTAATGTTTTAAAAGAACAGATATGAACTCACCCCATATAGATTTGGAATAAGATAGCTAGTCAAACCAACCGTTTTAGTCTTTTCAGCTTCTTCTGCTACATTTGTAGTAGCTGCAAGACGGCAACCAAAAGTGTGTGGATATAAGCTATATAATGACAAAAATGAATAAGATTCTCGCTCTAAAATTTGATTTTTACGCATTGTACATAAAATGAAAAACGAAGGAAGAAATAACATGTAATATGATGCTTTCAACAAATCATTTAAGTTAGTAGAACTCAAGCGAAAACAGAGATGAAGAAACTTCATAATGTCCAAAATTACACACTGGGATCACTATGTACTTCATTTCCAAGTTTGACTGAGGTTCTTGTAAGTTAAGTCAGCAAATAAAGTAAGCAACAACAATCGGAAAGAAGACATATTTTCCCTATTCCAATAATCTTGAGTGGACAATAGAATCAGAAAGAGAGATGAAATCAATGTTATCAACTTGCACCATAGAAACTATCACATTATCCTTCAAAGTAAATAAACTAAAAACTACTTTTCTATTTATAAGGTACTGCATAGTAGTGTGTGTATCCCTTCTGTTGTGCATATGTGCGTACAACTCTGCATAAATAGATGTATTTATGCATTATGTACTAAATAATCACCAAAGTCTTTTAAGGGAAGATTAGTCTGTAATGCTATCCAACGGGTAAAATTCTATTAAATCAAAAAACATGTAAAAGAAAGCATAAAATAATTGTGCTCATGAGACTGCAACAATGTGAATTGTATTTCTTTAAGAACCAGAAGAACTATTAGCGAAGGCATACTAGTTTCCTATCTTAACTCTCTATATCGCCATACCTTGCTGCACAGTGAATAAAGTTGATCAAGTCGGGATTTATCCCTAGACATGAATATGTAATAAGAGATCTTGGCTATAAAAGTAAAATAAATAATTAAAAAAGGTAAACTTATTAACATAAATTACTTACCCTGGGTTTCCACAGTTGGACCTCAACCAATGCTGAATACCATCTCTGAGCGTCTAACAGGAAAGAAGTTCAGTTCTGAATTCGAATTAAAATAGTTCATAACAGAAATTATGTACATCAGAAGTGAAGTCAATATACCAAGCAACTAAACCAAAACAAATAAGACACACACAAATAGGAAAAATAACTAGAACATTAGGTTGAAAGCAAACTTACCCAAAAGCAACACACAAAACTAGATTGCGAAGTAAATCAAAACTGAAGGATGAAACCAGAAGTGAACAAAGAAAAACCTGAAATACCCATAAAGGAACTAAGAACAAAGGAGCGAAGCCAGATCAGAAAAGCCGAATTGAGAATAAAAAAATCAAAAGAAAATTGAATGAAGGTGAAGAATGACGAAATGACTACCATTTTTTCTTATTTCTTATTTGTAATCAAATTCAAGATTTAAGAAAAACAAAAAATGGAGCGAACAGAGCGACATTTGCATTGCAAATAGGCAGACAACGATCATACCTTTTAGGAAAGACAAAACTAAAAACTGCACCTGCGATGGAGACTTCGGTTTGACATCTGAAAATAAAAAAAATCAAAATGGCACGAGGAGAAGAAGTAGCGGCAACAGCCATTGTCGAGAGAGAGAGAGAGGCAAAAGGCACAACAGGTAAGAGTAAAGACTAAAGAGAAATGGGTAGGTTTTGAAAATGACAAGGTGTGAGATTTGGGGGGAGTTTTTTATGGCGAATGCGATAATTTCATTGAGGGAAGAGGATAAAATATGAACAGTTGGATAGGCACAAGCATAATAAAGACTAAATATTTAGCGGCGTTTATATATATACAAACGCCACTAAAGTACATTTATTTAGCGGTGTTTGTGCTTAAAACGCTACTAAAGTACAAGCATTTAGTGGAGTTTGTGCTTAAAACGCCACTAAAGTACGAGTATTTAGCGGCGTTTGTATAAAACACCACTAAAGTACGAGTCTTTATCGTCGTTTGTATAAAAATGCCGCTAAATACAAGTACTTTAGTGGCGTTTGTACTTAAAACGTCTAATGTACGGGACTTTAGCGACGATTGTACTTAGAACGCCGCTAAAGTATGAGTTTTTAGCGGCATTTGTACAAAAATGCCACTAAAGTATAGTAATTAGCGGCGTTTATATGAAAACGCCACTAATGTACGGGCCTTTAGCGGCGTTTGTGCTTAAAATGCCACTAGAGTACGAGTCTTTAGCGGCGTTTGTACAAAAATGCCGCTAAAGTATAGTAATTAGCGGCGTTTATATGAAAACGCCACTAAACTATAGTATTTAGCGGCGTTTGTTCAAAAAACGCCGCTAAAAACCCATTTTGCTGTAGTGATCGAATTGAAAATTCAAGAAGATATTTACAATTAAACCATGACTAAAATGAAAGAAATCAAAAATCAAATACAAGTGGAAAAATGATGATTGTTGGAGGAGCATGAGCCTAATTAACCGAAAATATCTTGTTCGACACTATCATTGGCGCCAACTTCCCAAATGTTTCCATTCCCTCTAAATTTCCCAATTTCCCTCTAACTTCTCAATTTCCTTATATTCTCAAAATTTCTCAATTTCCCTCTAATTTCCCAAATAAAATAAAAAAATTTCACACAAAAAAATATTTCTTTTAAAAAGTTTTCACCCACCATTCACTTTGAATAATATATATATATATATAAATACTATATTAATATAAATTATAGTTTATAAACTATATACTTTTTATAGTTTATACATATATAGTTTACATATATAGTTTATATATATATATATAGTTCATATAAACATAATTTATATATCTAGTTTATAATATAAATATAGTTTATATATAAACTTATATTATATATATTATATTTTTTCAATTTTTAAATGAAGGCAATTTACTATATTTTTATTATTTATTCACATTTTTTATTTATTTCGATTTTATCCTTTTGTGTTTTTTAATTTATTTTAATTTTAAGTCTTTCACTTTTATATGTATTCAATTTAGTCCTTAAATTTATATTTGCATCTTCATTTGGCTAATTGTTAGTTGTTATTTATATTTTTGTAACTGGCCCATAACTTTTTAAATGAGCATAATTTAGTCATTTTTATATTAATTTAAACCTCACATTTTAAATTTATTTCGATTTGGTCCCTTACCTATGTGTGTTGTTTAATTTATATTTTAAAATTTTACTTGTAATTTTACATTTCTTCAATTTTGTCCTTAAATTTATATTTTTTACAAAATTAATTCATGATTTTTTGTAATATACTCGAAATCATATACAATTACAACTTTCAATTCAACAATTATGAAAAATGACAAAATAATTAATCCAAAAATAAAAACGACCTGACCTGAACTCAATCCGTATCCGGTAAACATTCAACATGAATTTTATCTGTCAATGATGTGACCCGATCTGAACGAGATCCGACTGAAGTTCACCCGAACCTGAATTAACCTGGTCTTTATCTGCTTCGGACCTGAACTGGTTTTACCTGAACTGACATCGATTCGAACTAAAAATGACTTGACCTGAACCCGATCTGGATCTGGTGTCAAATCAACCTGAAAATAACACGAACTGATTTGACACATACCCGATCTGGATTTGGTGTCAAATTGGAGTTGACCTGTACCTGATTTTACCCGACCTAACAAGATCCGACTGAAACCTGTTCGATTACCTGATTTTACAGCCCTAGGGAGCAGAAATTTTAAAATACAATTTATTATTATAAGGTTAAAAATGAAACAAATCGATTATAACCAAAAAATTTTATAAAGAGTAATTTTTTTAGGGTGGATAGAGTAACATTTTAGGTTATAATAAAAAATGTTACAATTTTGTATGATTTTGTTTTTTCAATTGTAAACCGTAAACTCCCACAATATAATTTTTCGGTTGTAACCGAAAATATTATAAATTTATTTAACTTTTAAAATTGAATACGATAATATTATAGGTTGACAACATCCTTAAATTAACCTTAAATTAAGTTGATGCACAACAAAACTTTTAGGAAGAGAATTGATTTACGAATGCAACACTTAATAAGATTATTAAAAGACTCATTTATTTCTAATCATCGAATGATTGCCTTCTATTGTCGATGTTGATCGGTGCGTTGATGTTCTCTCATTTATCTACCAAGAAAAATCAAGTTCAAAATAATTCAATTTATTAGTTATCCTCAAACTATTTAGTTTTATGAAATTTTTAAATATAAATATTGGGGGAAAACATATAGGAATAATTGTTAAAATAAAAATGATTTTCAAACTAAATTTAATACGAAAAGGCAACTTTGAATCGGTGTTTGGTCTAGTAGTATGATTTTCGCTTCAAGTCTGAGAGGTCCCGAGTTCGATTCTCGAAGCACATCCCATTTCTGTTTACTCTTTTCAACCCAATCAGATTTTAATATTTTTGAAACTTGGAATCTAAAGCCAAGTATCGTTTTTGGTCCCCCCCCCCCCCCCACCCAAGAAAAAAACCCTATTCTCCGCTCTCAAGCAAAACTTCCATCGCGATGAGCAGATCCGGGCAGCCTCCAGATCTCAAAAAGTAATATTTTCTTCTCTTTCCTTTCCCCGAAATTGTTTTCTTTTCGCTCAGTTCTTCGATTCTTAATTTATATTATTTGTGTTTTTTGTTCTTAACAGGTACATGGACAAGCAGCTCCAGAGTAACTTCTTTTTTTCTTTTAATTCCTTCTTTTCTGTTGCCCATTTCAACTTGATGCTTCTAATAAACTTTGTTTACATTCATCTGCTGTTGAATTTGGTTAGATAAGTTCCTTCGTGATGATTGATACCTCTTCGTCTCTTCAATTTTAGTTTGGTTGAGTGTTTTGGTAGTTGAAGCTGAAATGATTCTAAATCTTGCCTAATAGTTCAGTGCGGATGTCCTCGTTTGTTTGAGCATAATTTCTATTTAAATCTTTGTTCTTTACACACACATATAAGCGGGACGTAGGCAAGATTTTATGCTAATTCTGAACTTATGATATTCTAGGAGAGACAAATTTATGAAATTTTAGATATAAATATATATAAAAAATCTAAAATATATAGTAATTTAAAATTTTTAGGAGTGGGGCGACCGCCCCGGCCGCTCCCCTCGATCCATCATTGTATATAACTCCTAAGATTTGAGTTGAGACTCTGGAGTGGCCGACTCCATGGAATTTAATATTTTGTGTTCTTCAGTATTTCTAAGTTATGTTCGTTAGAAACTCTATCGTGTGTCAGATTATCAAGTTGAAGGGTTTAAGACTTTAATCCTTTGCCTTGGGACCGTACTATGGAATTGTTATGACTTGTGATTGTAGATTTATGCTAACCGTGAACTTATAATATTCTAGGAGGGACAAATTTATAAAATTTTAGGACGAAAAACATATTATTAATAGAAAATATTAAAAAAATCTAAAAAACATAGTAATTTGAATTTTAGGGGTGGGGCAACCGCCCCCGACTGCTCCCCCTTAGTCCATCATTGTATATAAGTCATAAGATTTGAGTTGAGACTACGGAGTGGCCGGCTCCATGGAATTTCATATTTTGTATTCTTCAGTGTTTCTTAGTTATTATGTTCGTTAGAAACTCTATCGTGTGCCAGATTACCAAGTTAAAGGGTTTAAGACTTTAATCCTTTGCCTTGGGACAGTCCTATGGAATTGTTATGATTGTAGATTTATTCTTCCATTGTTATGCTATTTGCCAATACCGATCCATGCATTATTTTGTTTGGAACTTGCTGCTGATTCTATGTTGACTTCTGTTAAGTTGGTATTGTAAGTTGCACTTTAGGCTGACATAAATGACTTTTTGTGGCTTATGGGCTGGCAGATTGTCGATTACGTGTATTGTAGCTTAGTAGTATTCATGGAAAGGAACCAATTTATTTGTTTGAAAATATACTGTTATTTAATGCTCTGCAGTCAAGCTGAATGCCAATCGCATGGTCGTCGGCACGCTTCGTGGGTTTGATCAGTTTATGAATCTAGTGGTTGACAACACAGTAGAGGTGAATGGCAATGAGAAAACTGATATAGGCATGGTGGTGAGCCTCCTATACCTTGCTCAATGTTTATATAGCCATTCATGTGTATGCTTTCATCTTTAGCCTCATTTTATTAATTGATACCAATCTGCCGCAGGTTATCAGAGGAAATAGCATCGTTACTGTTGAGGCACTTGAACCTGTAGGCAGAATGCAGTGATTTCCAGTTCTTCGATTGGAAATGCGGAATTCACTTGATGGTATCGCATTCACTTGCTGTTGTTTGGATAGCTTTGCTTCTAGCCTGCTGGTTTGGGGTGAGATGTTTTATTTAAGTGAGAACTCGGAAATTAGACGGATTTATTAGTTTATGCACTTTAGTTTCCTTCTGTACCTGATGAATTGCCCTGGTTATTCCAAATAGTTTTGATGGACTGGTGGATTGAATCTTATGCTCCATATGTTAGAGCTTATTTCTGGTTCTTGATGATGACGTCCTTTGTGCAACTACATCTTGGCATTAGGTTAATTTCTATCCATGGTTCGCTAGCACCATCTTTTCTTTGATCGATCCGTGATTTCCAAACTAAATTACTGGAGGATCATGAAATTCAATGCCAATTTGTTGGTTTTAGCTTAGATTTTATGGTATATACCTGCTCAACTGTTGGTATTTTAATTAAAAGAAACTTCAATAGATGAAGGAAACTGAACATTATTTTTTATTTAGCAATCATTCAGAATTTAAATACAATAAAATCAACAGCCCACTAACATGTTCCTAAATTTAAGTAGCCACCCATGAATAATTTTCTCTTAAGAGCAACACACGAATAACAAATAAATCTAAAAATAGAAAAATCTTAAAGCACATCAACTAACACTCCTTGCTTTAGGAAATGCAAACACCAAGTGTTGTTCTCAAAACTTCAAATTTACTTACTGGAATCGGTTAGGTGAAGATACATGTTAGTTGTTCCTCTGTTTTGCAATGAACCAATATAACATCACCTTCTTTTTGCACTTCTCTCAAAAAGAAAAGTTTAATGTTGAAATGCTGTCTTCCCATGAAAAACTGGGTTGTGAGAAATTGTTATGGCAGTTTGATTATCAACAAAGACCTTTGAGCCTTCTTTTTGTTCAAGATTGAGATCACATAATAATTTTCTCAACCACAAAGCTTGACTAACAATGGATGATGCAGTAATAAATTATGCTTCGGTAGTGGATTGAGTCACAGTTTCTTGTTTTTTCGAGCTCCATGAGAAAACACTTGATCCAAAAGTGAAACAATAGCCTGAAGTACTCTTCATGTTGTTAATGAAACCTCCCCAATCACTATCAGAGAAGGCAACAAGCTTTAACTCCTTGTTTCTTGTGAATTTGACACCAAAATTACTCACGCCTTTGATATAGCGAACTACTCTCGTAGCAACCCTGAGATACAATTCACTTGCACAATGCATAAATCGAGACAAAATTCTTACAACATTTTAAATATCAAAACGTGTTGTTGTAAGATACATCAAGCAACCAATTAAACTTCTGAAATATCCTTAATCAACTTTATCAACTCCATCTTTCTTGCAAATCTTCTCCTTTTGATTCATAGGAGTGCTCACTTCCTTGCATTCTTCAAGCTTGAACTTTTTTCAAAATTTCTTTGACATACTTCTTCTGACAAATAAATACTTCATGATTAACCTGTTTAATTTCCATTTCTAGAAAAAATAACATCAACCCACGATTTGTCATCTCAAAAACCTTTATCTCTTGCTTGAATTGTTGTAGCATTCGTGCATCATTTCATATTAGCAAGAGATTGTCAACATAAAAAGAGACTATCAAAACATCATTGTCATGACGTTTGACATAAAGGGTAGTCTCGGATAGGCTTCTTTCAAAGCCCAAGCTTAGCAAATGATCATCTATTTTGATGTATCAAGCTCTTGGAGCTTGTTTCAGTCCATAAAGAGCTTTCCTGAGAAGAAATACCTTGTCTTCCTCTCCTTTCTTCACAAAGCCTTCAGGCTGCTCAAAGTAAATTTCTTCCTACAAAATGCCATTTAAAAAGGTTGATTTTACATCAAGTTGATGCACCATCCAATTCATTTGAGCCGTTATAGCAAGTAAAAGTTTTATGGTGTCCAAACGAGCAACTGGTGCGAAAGTGTCTGAATAGTCCATGCGAAAAATTTGTACATAGCCTTGGACCACAATCTTGCTTTGTGCTTATTGATTGAGCCATTAGTATTAAGCTTGGTTTTGTATACCCATTTGACTCAAATCACCTTTCTATCTTGGAGTCGATCAATCAACTCCCATGTTTTGTTCTTCTCAATCATGGATAACTCCTTCATTGCAACCACCCATTTTGGGTCTTTTATTGCCATAGCAAAATCTCTAGGTTCACATATAGCTATATTACATCTTGCATAAATGTTAGTAAGCAATCTAGTACCCCCTTGTTGAAGCGTCATCCACCAACTCATTCAACCAAATTTCATCTTCATCTGTAGTTGAAGCAGGTAACTTAAGCTTTAAATTTGCAGTAGTTGGACCAATTTTCTCATCCCAATTCCAATCTTCATTTTCCACAAAATGAATATCTCTTCTTATAACAAAATCCCATTATGTGGTTCAAAAATTTTATAAGCTTTTGCAACATTGTTATAACCAATAAAGACTCCTAGAAGCGCATTTTTGTCTAACTTGTCTCTCTTGATCTATGGAACGTGAGTGAAGCACAAAAAACCAAATATTTTGAGAAAATGCAAAGATGGTTTATGATCATACCAAGCCTCATAAGGTGTTTGATCCTTGATTGCTTTTGTGGGTAATATATTCTGTAGAAAAATTGTAGTATGAGTTGCCTCTGACCAAAACTTCTTGGGTAAATTCTTTTCATGCAACATACATATAGTCATTTCTAAGATGTATTATTCTCCTTTCACTAACTCCATTTTGTTGCGATGAATAAAGAGCTGTCAACTGATGTTCAATGCTAGCTTCTCCACAAAATGCATTTAAATTTTCTGACGTATTATCGATCGAGAAACTAGCCAAGAGGGGGTGGGTGATTTGACAATTAAAAATTTGGTGGAAGCTTTTGCAGAAAATTGAAAATATTTGCACAACGATTTAGAGTGGTTCAACTTTCTCAACCAAAGTCTACGTCCACTACCTTAGCTATCCACACTAAGGATTTTCCAACAACTCATAGCTTGTTTAAATACTCCTTGGATCATTTATTAACAGTGGAGATCATTAGTGGAGTCAATAGACCCGTTAGTGTGTGAAAATAATTAATAAAATAATTGGGAGCGTATGGTGCATCGATGCATAGGCAGTGTACATCGGTACACTATGTGTAAAATTCAAATATTTCGACCGTTTGAAGACTTAGTGCATCGGTACACTAGGGGTGCATCGACGCATAAAATACATTCGATGTTTCAAACAAGCCTGGAGTGCATTGATGCATGGCTGTGCATCGGTGCATTAAATGCAATCGAAATGGGTGTGTATCGATGTATCAATGTAGTGCATCAGTACATCACTTTGTAAAATTGATTTTTGGCTCGTTTTTGGTTCGAAATACTTTGTGAAAATTGTTTCAAAAATATTTTAAGTATAAAACACAATTTTACTCTTTAGTAAGGATTGATATTGACCTTTGAAATCCTTATAGTAATATTTGTGATATTCAAATAATTGAATCGAATATACTTTGAAAATGATTTCTAAAATCTTAAAATTCATTTATACGTAGTTTGTTATATCGAAACATCAAAATGTTTTCAACACCTTTCACTAACTCTATTTTTTTGCGGTGAATAAGGAGCTGTTAACTGATGTTCAATGCTAGCTTCTCCACAAAATGCATTTAAATTTTCTGACGTATACTCCTTTCCATGATCAGACCTCAATATTTGAATGTGATTGTCACTTTGATTTTCCATCATTCTTTTGAATTTTCAGAATGCTCCAACAACTTCTGACTTGAATTTTAAGAAGAAAATCCAACACATTATTGTGAAATCATCAATAAAAGCAACATAATATTGATTGCCAGCTAACAAATGAGATATTTGATGTCTAGAAATATCTGTGTGAATCATCTACAACTTACAAGTGGCTCTCTATGTAGACTTTGGGAATGACTTTCAGTTTTTCTTTCTAAACCGACAAGCCTTACATGCCAATATATGATCATCAAGTTATGAAAGATCCATTGTCATACTTTTGGACTTCATCTTCAATAACCCTTGATGGTGATAGTGTCTAAGCCTTTTATGACATGGGATTGTGAGGCTTTTTTTGCTAGAAAAACCGACTGCTTCTCCTGCATCAGATTGAGGGAAAAACTTTTCCCTACCATCTTAACTTCAAACATTTTCTGACCTTTAGCATCCTTTATCACACATGTCTTCTCCATGAATTTCACTTTGAATCCCTTCTCTACTAATTGATCAATGCTAAATTGATTTTGATCAATATCATGTACATAAAGGACATTAGAAATAAACTTGGTACCTTAACAACTTGCAATGGCTACGGTCCCTTTTCCTTTGACAACAATGTACTCACCGTTCCCAATTCTGATCTTCTTGGACTCGATACTCTTCAATTCTTTGAACAACTCTTTGTCATGAGTTATATGATTATTGCAACCACTATCAATGAGCCAACTTTTACTCGTTTCGTGACTAGTGAAATAAGTTGCAACAAGAAGTTGATAATCCTCTTATTGATCTGCCACTTGTGCTTCATCTTGTTGTTGATTTTTATACTCGCAAATAACAACTTCATGTCCCATCTGGTTAAACTTGTTACACTTTGCATCTACTCTTCTCCAACACTTGAAAGGTGGGTAACTTTTCTTTCTGTAGTGTTGACATAGAGGATAGTCATTCTTTACTCTTTTTCTTCTATTCAAAGCTTTGTTTTTGTTCCCAAATGCAGAGTTTTCTCCACTTACGGCGTGAAACTTTTGTTCTTTGGCCTCCGGTTCTTTTCATCATCTTGGTGCATAACCGGTAGAGCACATTCAATGGCCTATTCTCATCTCATTACATGCCTCTGCTCTTGTGCTTACAAAGCACTTAAGTGTTCTGCCAAAGTAATCTATGACATATCTTTTTTGTTCTATAAGGTGGTGATGGTGGCCTCAAATCTATTAGGTATTGTTACAAAGATTTTCTACACAATCATTGAATCTGCTAGAGATGAACCTAGCAGTATGAGCTTATTGACTATGCTAACGAGCATGTCTAAATACTCATTGATTGTTTCGACCTCCTTAATATTCTTTAGTTCAAATTTATGTACAAGATTCAACACTTGCATCCCGCGGATTTTTTTATCTCCCTCGTACCCAACCTTGAGATAATCCCATATCTCCTTTGATGACTTTAGAGACATAATTCTGGTGAAAATAGTCGTTGATGCTATAGAAAATATGCATGCTTTTGCCTTTTCTTTTCT